GTTCTAATGCAAACATGAAGATACAATTTGCCTTTTGAACAATAATACAGAATGATATTTCTCTGTAAATTTTAAGTATTTTAGCGATATATAGCTTTAGCTGCGTAGCTACTTTAAAAGGCATTGATACGTTTTGTTCATTGGCCATAATTTTGTTACATATTTTCTTATTTCAAGTTGCCAGTAAAACAGTACATAGCTTAGAGATTAAAGCACCTGGCATTTGATTACATATACTTCAAAGCAATTAACGATAAGTAAACCTGTTTATAGCAGCTAGTGATGTACCTACTTTTTTACCTTTTTACCGGGTTACAATGAAATCGGTTTCCTTCGGAAAATCTGCGACAAGCTTTCAAAAACAGAGGTTATTATGTAGAGCGTTGCTTGATTAGCAAACCTATAACTTAGAAAAAGCGAAACTGTTTTGGCAAAATCAGGTCTCTTTATTCCTATTATTGGTTCCTATGAGATTATAAGAGTGTGCAACCAGTCTTAAGCAGGGGCGTAGCGTTGCTATATAAATTGTACAACCCCCATTTATAAAATGCTAAGTAGCAGAGAATTAAAACTTGCAGAGGGGCATGAATATTATGGTGATCGAGTTGTAGATATAGGGCCAATGTTACGCATAATTGTAAATTTTAAATTTTGTTAATAAAGTTGTTTCTGTGTACAAACAAACTTTACTGTGCATAAAAATGCTTATGCCGTGATGTGTCAAACATTGATACACTTTTGAGTCCCAACAGGGTGATTAAAGGCATTCACGCCCTAACGCTTGTATTCTAAAAGCTTGCTCACACTCAAACTCATTAATTGGGAGATTATAATTTTTCCATAACGTTTCAATGGCAGTATTTCGAGCCGAATAGGGGCTTGATTTTCAGTTATTAACCTTATATCTTTCCGTCTCTTAAGAGAAAATTTTCTCATTGTCTCTCTCTCTCTCAATATATATGTCACACTCAATGAGCGTGAGTTTAAGTGAGCTCTATATATATATATATATATATATATATATATATATATATATATATATATATATATATATATATATATATATATATATATATATATATATATATATATATGAAGGTGCGGAAACACGTCTGGTATATTATTAACTGTGTGGAAACATGTCTGGTATATTATGAACTTGTTGTATTCTTGATTTCCTCAGACTCAACTATTTGTTTGTTAATATACAAACGTTTCGCCGGTCAAGGCTTCTTCAGTGCAACGGTTAGTAGCAATATTAAGATCCTAGTGTATATACAGGTATGTAGAATTAAAAATACTTAGCTTATTTCCATTGTAAACGGAAGTAATGAACATGCTAGTCGTGCAATAGTGATACGTTTTCTTAGGATAAAATTCTATTAAAATTCTACTGGTCAAAAGTAGTTAAAGGCGGGATGGTTCGCGTGACTGAAGCAGGTAAGAAACATGGCAGCAAGATCCTTAAACAATAAAAACTTCCCCCAAGAATATAATCATTACACCTAGTGATAAAACGAAACGACTCATTGCTGTAGATTTCCAAAGTTATAATGACATGTTGGCAAAATCCACCATTAAACTGGCAATTACAAGGAACTTAAAAGATTAAACCAGCCCAGGACTGAACAGATCAAATTTAAACCTTGCCTTAACAATGTAGCTAACAAATGTCAATTTAATAACCCTAAATTATATAAAGATCTGAAATCCACAATTGGTAGTGAGCCACTTCTTTGCTCGGCCTATTGTCTACCTAAGGACCATAAAGACGGGGTTTTAAAAGTTAAGCCCATACACACAGCTACTGACACACGTCTCTGTCGAAATATCTATGAATGCGAAACCCTTAAACGCTACATGCATGATTATTTTGTTTTCCTGTTGTCCAAAGAATTCACAGCCGATCGACTTCTCAAAATAGCTAATAGTTTAAAAGACGTTATCAAATTTACCTTTGAGTTACCCAGAGACAATCAATTGCCCTTTTTAGATACCTTAGTTATCCCCAAGATAAAACATTCTCCACAGCGCTCTATATTAAACCCATCCATAGCAAATGTATTACACCCTGGGACAGTCATGGTTCGGTGGCATCCAAACGAGCAGCTCTTATAGGCGAAATAAAGAGAGCAGTCAGATGTTCTACCGATTGTGTTACCCAAAAACACTCATTGAAGCAAATGAAACAATTATTTTTGCACAATGGTTACCCTGCCAAATTTGTTAAAGGAGTTATAAGACGCACCCTTTCCGACAGACACCAGGGCGAAGATCAACAAGATACTATTTACCTCAAACCGCTCCCACTTATCAACGAAGAATACAAACGACAGGCTTTAGGAGTGTTAAACCGATCACGTATTAAGAATGTTAAAATGCACTTTGTGAATGGCAGATCATTATCAAAAGTGTTTGGCCCACCGAAGAATAAACAAAACTAACGGTTTTTATGGGCCGTTTCATCTGCGTGAATGCATAGAGGAATTTATGTACCCGTTTTCACGGATGAAGAGCACTATTCTCGGGAACCGCTTGCTATAGACATACACTGGGTTTTGAATCACGCGTCGTAAAATGTCAACTCTGTGTAACTCTGCAGTTTTGTTTACCGGAGAACACGATTTAACAGTAAAACGCAAGCAGGGAATGTGAACAAACGATATTTATGTTTGATATATGTTTGCTATGGCACCCCGTTATGATGGTGAGATTCATCGTATGTTTGGAACTAGCTAGCTCTAGCAACAATAAAAGAAAAAGAATTGTGTAAATAGCAAAACCCCCTACACATGCCACTACACACATATGATACATGCAGTCCAACACGTTCACGCTAATCACGTTCCTTAGCATACATCATAAATAGGCCGTAGGATGATTATCCAAAATATGCAATTTTGCTGCACCTCTCGTGGAACTACGTAATTTTTACATGAATCAATAGATGAAAACTTACTTTATCAGAATCCGTTGCTCCCTAAGTGAAACAGGTGCACAATTGGAAAAAAAATCGCTCCAAAGTTTGTTATTTTAGCGCTTCGAAATATTCGAACCGCCATTGTTTTAGTAGCAAATACGCATGCGCATATCAGCTAAAGTCGCACTGCGCACGCGCAAACAGAAAAATGGATTTTCTCTGTGGGTTTTCCCCGATTTCCCGCGTAAAAACAACAAAATTAAGAAAGATTAACGAATAAATAAACACACATAAAATATTGTTTAAAACACATTGTACATTTTACTTGCTCATATGCTAAATCACTTCAATTCATTGGCTACTGTTTCAAAATACCGTTTTAATGTTTAATTCTACTTATTAACATCTTAATTCAATAAAAGTTTGTGTGAGGTTAAAAACCCACCTGTATCAAACAGGACGGAGAATATATAAATATAAATACCACTCACACAATCAAGGAACAAGTTAAATATTTTGCTTAACTATAGCCTTCACATCACTAACAAAGCCTGGAGGAATAGCAGAATCATTGGATATATTCATCTGTGCAAGAGCAGTCTCATGGCACAATACAAATGAGTGTTACATGCAATGCCCAAAGCCACTCAATAGAGAAATTACTGAAGCTGAACCTGTCAGTTGTCCAAGTTCCATGGCAAGTGCTATGCTCTTGGGGGTAGGATTCCTTCTCCCAGATGCTAAATTCACAAGGTCTTGTACAATTGATGTTAGTTTGGAACTGTTCTTGCCCTCAATTGGCTTATACTCGCTTAAAGTTGGCTCTGAAGAGAATTCACAAACCCAAGCCAATATATTAAAAAGTTCACATGGAACAACTTTTTGCACATTATCCATTGTCAAATCAGATGCCAATGGTGGCCAAAGAAGATTCAGTTTTGGTATATCTTGGACCTTTTTAGCAAAGAATCAATGCAGCATTGTATAGAATTTGTAACTCATTGACTTTAGAATTTCCCTCAGTTTCTGTGTTGGAATTCAGATCATCATGCATCATCAATGGTATAGCTCTCTTCATTTCTAAATTTTCCACACATACAATCCCACTAACATCTCTCATTTTCGTTAAATAGAACACAAGTTGGGGATAACTATTCATCAGTCGTTGCTTGCGTTTAAAAGCTCTATATTTAGATGCGTCCATATTCTCAGTGTCCTTAGCAATGATAACAAATTTCTCCAGCAAATCTTTCTTATACCTTATTTGCTTTTTGCGATGACTTCAATCTCGATTACTTTCTTACAGAAGACATCATAAGACTTCTCGTACACTGATGTAGATATTTCAGTCTCCAATTGCTTCTTTGTCTCTCTGGTGAGAAATTTTGTATAATTGTAGTAACAAACTGTGTGGTAGAGGACTTCCAGTGCTACACAGTCATTCCCCCGGATTTGCACGAGTATCCGTTCATCATTCTTTCCCTTGGCAGCTGTACGTAGAAGACCAGCATCCATTGTTTCTGCCAACATGAGTGGGGTTCTTCCTTTCTACTTAGTTACCTGGTAAGGACAAAATTATTAAACTAAATATCTGCTAATAACACAGTTGTATGTTTGTAGCATCAGAAACCTTATTAAAATAAACTTAATTAACCACAATTCAAGATATTTTAAAACCAAACTCGAGAGCACATTGTTACTAATATTATTATATCTATCAAAATGACCATACCTTGTCTAGTCAGAACCAAGAGCCATCTCTTTTACAAACAATACATATTTCTGGAAGTACACGCTCGTTTCTTTTAGGCAGGGTCCAGCCTCGTACCCAGGCGCTTTATTGGAAAACATAAAGGTTGCATTCAGCGTAATATAGAGATCTGTGGCTGAGATGTGTGAGCGCGCAGGGGTGCTTGGGGAGGACGCGACGGGAGAACGAAGCGCCTGGCAGAATATGCAGATTTCCGGCTCCCATTTTTGCAAAAAGTGAGAAATGCGTGAAGACTACAATATCGTCAATATGTAGACATATTTTGAAGAAGAATTGAACCTGCGATCAAAATTATGGATGATTTGAAACGATCGTTTCAAGAACTATCATTTGAAGGTAGCTTTATACTGATTTTTTTTATTTTAATACGACTATTTTGACAAATCTCGTTTCGTATTAAAACACAGTCGCGCAGTATTTAACACCATTTAAATTCATCTTAATTTCCTTACAAAAGTATCATCAAGCTTGGAGGAGGAAAGGTATACGTTTGGTATCGAAGAATTGAGTGTTAGAGGTGAGTGCTTAGTTGCCTTGGGATTTAAATATTTCCTCTATTGATATTAATTAAACAATAATACATTTTTATTTTCATTCTATATCAAAAATGCTATCAAGTTGCAATTTATATGCGTGTTACTAGTAATATACAATAACAAACTCCAGGTCAGATTGTTACCATCACCCCACAGAAAGAGGAAGGAAAAGAATCATTTCAGCAGGGAAACATGCTTTAACCCCAATGCTTGGAGTTTGTGTGAATTTTAACATAAGTACATATTATATATCAAGACTCAATTGTCAGATATTGGGGCTGTTATTCATAAATTATACATATTTGTGCTTTTCATAGGTAGTGGAAGATATAAATCACCAAATTTATGCTCTGAATTAGAAAGGTTGTTGGACTATTGTGAAGACTCCAATGTCCATGAAAAACAGACATTATTAATGAGTTTACATGGCATTCTGATAATAAAAAGAATACTTTGACTCGGGGAATTAAAGAAATTTTCCCACATTCTACAAAAAAGTAAATAGTTGTTGGATGTGAAAATATGTATCTCCTTTTGAGAGTATAATGTAGTAAATAGGATTATGGAACAATATAATTTATAAATGTATTATAGTAATTTCTTGGAATACTGTACACAACCTTCATCTACATTGTGTGATGTATATAAGTATATTGCTGTAGGGATGAACTAAGTCTATTGTTTGCTTTGTGGTACACCAGTTGAATTTCATGTACAGTACAGTATACCAAAGAGTGTTGGTGTTATGAAGGAATATTAATGAATTACTCTCTACATAGGTTTCAATAGTTAATTTTTCTTAACATTTAATACAGTTATTTACACTAATTTGTTAATGAAACCACATGGTAGTAAACCATAATATTTCTGTAATGCAGAATGATAATATTTCTGTAATGCAGAATGAACTTAATGTAATGGAAAATGGCTTAGATGAACAGAATCAACTGCTGCTATTACTGCATTAGATTGAAACAACATTGAACTGGCTAATGAGCTTAACAAACTTAGATTCAAATTGAACTCAGCATTGATAAAAACGTACAAGGTCAAAGTCAAAATTCTTAGTGTTTCTGGAGGTGTTAAAATAACAGATTCCCAGAAAACCAAATTAATAAAGAAGTCAAACAGATGGAAGAAATGTGCAACCTAAATCTGATGTAAATCATTGCATATTCGAGTAGATACTCTTCTTTCAGCGCACGTAAATAACTGTTTGCGCCTTAATATTCGAAAATGATGAATAATACAACGCAGTGATAATTTTTGCACAAAATCTTTCCCAAATGTACCGCCCGGTGATGGGGTGTACGGCAATTTTCTCATTTGCATCTATGAAATATATGAATAAATCGTCCGCCGGCGCCATATTTGTTGCATATTCTGCCAGGCGCTTCATTTGTCGCGTCCTCCCCAAGCACCCCTGCGCGCTCGCACATCTCAGCCACAGATCTCTATATTACGCTGAATGCAACCTTTATTTTTTCCAATAAAGCGCCTGGGTACGAGGCTGGGCAGGGTCTCATTAACGTCTGCGCCTGATTGGCGTGTAATTTTTCGCCTTGGTTCCATTGGTTCCACTTCACATGTAGTTCTTCCGTAGAAGTTACAGTTTTAGAGCTAGTTCCCCGACTGTCGGGTAGAAATATTTAATTGCACGTCTAGCGGAAACGTTTGAGTGGTTAGGTGCATGAAACCTGTAACCTGTTTACGTCTGTAATAAAGCATTTTCACTGCTTTATTTAAGCGTTTTCAATAATTTTAAAAAGGCAAACGATTTTTCAAGTTAATCCTGTATATAAACGTGAAAGTAGAATGTTCAGTCAAACTGTAGTTGAGATAAAAAACAAAACAGCAATGAGGCTCTTAAGATTACGTTATAATAGGTTCTATCGATATGGCAGGCCTATATGATATGGAAGGCCACTATACTCGAAAGAAACTTGAAGATTTTTCAGTGCATCCGTACATATAATACATACATTAAATATTTGTCAGACAGAGTTATTAAAGACCGCCTGTTAGGCGACAGTTAAAACATCTCATACATTAATTTCGAAACAAATGAAACATGTAGTAAAATTAAGGTACCTGGAGATTTCAATGCACCGGCAGTGCAACTTAAGCCCCGTTTACACTAGCCTCGATGTATTAGCACGGTACGGCTATTAATTGACGGTAGTGTGAACGGGGCTTTAAGCCCATACTAGCTGTTGTGTCATGCCGGTGCAGTTACCACTTCCTAGTACGCGTTTGTCATATAATTTAGTTTCTGCATGCATGTTTTCTTTCACACTCTTTGACTATAAAAAGAAGCTTCAAGGCAGTTCGGCACATCCGTGCATACAATACATACATACAATCCATATTTATTTATTTTTCATCAAAAAGTGTTATGAAGACTGTTCGAGACTTTTACAACATGCTGCTCTTTGCAACAAGTTACACAGGATTAGGAATTTCCGTTGCTTTGTATTCTATCAATTTGTAAGGTGCATGCATGGTGATAAATATTTTAACTGTGTTTGACAATACGTACATGCATAGCCCGTTCTTTTCTCTTTGTATTTGCCCTACGTTTTTGTCGTTATCTTACCATGTACCACTAGCAAATAATTACAACAGTAACATTGTTGTAATTGTTTAATTTGTTTCTTTAAATTAAGTCCCTGAAGCTATATCTGCACGAGCATAAATTAAAATAAATGAAATGAATTAAAATCACTGACGCTATGTAAAAAGGCAACGCAAAAGCGACACTTCACAACCTCAAGACTTTGGCAAAGTTTCATGTATATTCGTTAAAGCTACTTGTCAATGGATCTATTTTAGCATTGAGCCACACTTAAAGGCATTTTCGCCAAATAGCTTAGACAAAAGCTAATTGCCTCCTGACGACCATGCAGCTGATATTTAATCAATAATCTAATCTTATAGGACTGCACTTGTTATTCGCCGGCAACTGATTTCTAAATCCCACTGGTGTAAACGATCCAATATACCTCACCGCTCACAGGCCTGCGTTCCTGCATGGCAATGGTTTCTGTCGCATGTACGTGCTGTCGAAGCGCGAAGGGAACCTCTTTCGTAGAGTATCTGACCCTGGTGTTTCTCTCTTTCTCTCCTCTCACTTTAGCCATGCTAAATTGATCGAATACTTACTCGAACGTTATTGGGGAAATTTTCTAGCAAAATCTACCGAAATTCCGTTGTGTTTTTGGAACAGGATTGTCTATATAGATAACAAGGCATAAATAGTTTGAGCACTCATGTTTACGATTTCGTTGACTTTTATGAAGGGCTCTTCGCGCAAACAGGAAACTAGAGCCAAGTGCTTCGGCAGACTGCTTAATAAAGAAATCAGTCGACAAATCATACGATTTAGCAAATCCATATGGCGATTGTGGTCAATACAGGATTTATACGAAAAGTCAATAGCTTCTAAAACTTGGATTTTCATCGGAAGCAACGTCTTCATTTTTGACTGTGCATTTTAATCAAGCGGATGAACGTTTTAGAGTTTATTCAAGAAGTAAGATCGAAATGTGCCTTTTAATATGAGTTTAACGGCGCTTTTACAGCCAGGCGGAAATTAATATTCCTAAGAAGACAGTTTGTTTTCATTCAAAAGCTCTGAATTCCAGCTTTGTAGCCATAGAATCAGACATGTATTTTATCAGTAGAAAATTTAACTACTGTTATATGTGCCACATCTCACACAGGCATGCTAAATGACTTACATTTGAAATAATTATGTAAATCATTAATCAATTGTTAATATTGACACACAAGCACAGGAACTAAATATCACTGATTTGCCCATTGTGGCGAAGCCTGCTAAAGCACAAAGTATCATTGAATTGCCCGTAGTGTAAGAGGCCACTTAGTAACAAAATGACACAAAAAATATAGATAAAAAATTTGGTGTATAAATTATGGAGAAGAGCTTCAACGTTTCGTTACAGCAGATTAGGACATTGAAGCACATTAGCATGATCTTCACACAGCACTTGTGGATACTTTTTAAATAGCTCATACGCTATTTTATTATTAGAAGGTTATATGATGGCCTTAGTAAAGAACCCAAATTATTTTTTACTTAGATGCCAGAGTCTGAAGCTTGCTGCTTTAAACCTTGCTGCTTCAAACTTAAAAGAGTTATTTCAATGATGTAATGATGGTGACTCTCACAATGATCTTAGGAATCATAAAACTGATTTAATATTACCATGGACAACTAAAGAAAGAATTTCTTAAAATAAGGTTCAGATACAATGGAGCCATCCATTGGAATAACCTACCCATTGATGTAAAAAGGGCTGATTCTATAAATTTATTTAAAAGAAGTATAAAATCAACAGCGAGATGAAGCTGATACCAACTCGTTTTTTATGTTTTTTATGTACACGCTATACTCTGCGTACACGCCCCCCCCCCCCCCCTCCTCCGAAAGTTGATGCAGGCTAGAGTGTCAAAATTGTATATATATATATATATATATATATATATATATATATATATATATGATCTATTTGATGAAAATTCCATGTCCGGTAATAATATAAGGATTAAGAGATAAAACTTCAACGGACATACTTTTAAAACCATTTATTGAAAGGTTGTTAAAAACTAGCTACCAGACGTTTCGCTATTTACAGCTTCATCAGTGGATTAAAAGATTTTATCACTATCGTCCTCTATTTATACAAGTGAAGCCAATTACAAAATCCATTGATAACTAAATACTGATAATCCTACCTATACAACCGTTCATCAGATGCTGGGAGCATTTTTGAATTTCAATAGCCTCTATTATCTTACGTTCATTATAATGCCTAACGTTATTATGCATAATTTCCCATGTAATATGAACGCCCTCCTGAGGGTTAACATCATGTGATTTTAAATGTAAATATACTGTTTGTTTGTTCATCTTTAAATGTTCCTTTATTCTAGATCCCACTGTACGACCCGTTTCTCCTATGTACTTAAGATCACAATGGCCACAGAAAATCCGATATACAACATTTTTTCCTAAGACACTGATTTCTTTCAATGCCATCCTACATGTCTCGCAATTCTGCTTACAATTTAGACTTTCCCTGGGCGGTGCAAAAACCCTGGCCAATGGCAAACCACCAACAAACGAGACTTTGATGTTGCTAATTCCGGTATTGCGAATCACTGATAGCGCCCTGCGCTTAAGTTGCTCATTAACAAATGGTAATTTCAGATAAATGGTATCCGTATTCTTTTCCTTGCTATTATGTTCCTCTCTTGTAATACGTCTTACAACCGATATTAAAAATCGTTTAGGATAGCCATTACTTCTAAAAATCTTCATGATCTTTCGTATCGAACGTCTTTCCGATTTTTTATCAGTAGAGCATATCATAGCTCTTTTAATTTCTCCTACGACTATGCCTCTTTTAGACGAGACAGATCCATGACTATCCCACGGTGTTATGGACTTACTATGTATGGGTTTAACATATAACTCGGTTGAAAACTTGTTGTTATGATCAAGCGATACTAATGTATCTAGGAAAGGTAATTTACTGTCTTCAGGTAACTCTATGGTAAATTTAATAGCATCACTAAGACTATTAGATATTTCTAATAGTTTATCCACATTCATTTTATCCACATTCATCCCACATTCATCCCAGCATCATCCCACATTCATATCCACATTCATCCCAGCATCTGATGAACGGTTGTATAGGTAGGATTATCAGTATTTAGTTATCAATGGATTTTGTAATTGGCTTCACTTGTATAAATAGAGGACGATAGTGATAAAATCTTTTAATCCACTGATGAAGCTGTAAATAGCGAAACGTCTGGTAGCTAGTTTTTAACAACCTTTCAATAAATGGTTTTAAAAGTATGTCCGTTGAAGTTTTATCTCTTAATCCTTATATATATATATATATTAATATATATATATTATATATATATATAATATATATTATATATATATATATATATATATATATATATATATATATATATATATATATGTGTGTGTGTGTGTATGTATGTGTGTATGTGTGCAGTGGCGTAGCCAGCCTGACGATTTTGTCCCGCTATGTAAATTTCGAGTTATTATCATTATTTATATCTTTAGAAATTCATTGTTTTCGCAGTCAATAAACACCAAAATATTAGCATAGCGGGACAAATCGACAGGCTGGCTACGCTACTGTATGTGTGTATGTATGTATCGATCCTTCTCCTCAATTGTCTTAGCCATGCATTGAGTATTTATTTTGGATGTATCCATATCGGAATGCACGCTTCAGAAAAGTTATCTCTATTTATCATCAAATGTGGCATAACAACTGCCTAAAATAGACAAAACACTTCAGTTGTTTGAAGACGCTGTGACGCTGCTCCCTGGTTATATTGGAACGTATCTGAATCTCTATTAATATACCAAAATTGGCAGGAAACTGATTTGTTAAAGATAATATATTATGATAATTTAGAATAGAATAAAGGTAAATTATCAGAATTTTTTTAGATTTGGACTTAGTTTTCGGAACTGTCAAGAGAAGTTAGAACCGTTGGTTTAAAAAAGTGTTTATGAAGAAATTTCCAACTTCCATAACTCCGTGATGTCTGATCCCTGCGCATATGCCATGACGAAGGATTGGTTTCCTGCCATGTGATGCAATATCTCTACTGAGTGCTTGTGAGGTTTTAAATTACAATTAGTTTCCGTTTGGTTTTAATACATCAACAATCGCGAGTGTTCTCTGCGAATTTTGGTACATTTCATTGGCAGGTATTGAAATAATCGCTTTTAATATTGGAAAAGGTACGTTTGTGTCAATGATTTTATGTCGTCAACGCAGTGAAGTCGTCACAGTCGTATAAGGTCTTGGCACAACACAGCGCTCTGTCTGTGGCGCCTGAAATGAAATTGCAAATTTCGTTTTTGTTCCCTTTAACTGTTCTTAAAGTGAGATTTCAGGCGTTTAAGATTTTGACTTTGTAGATATAACATCCCTCATTGCGATAAAAAGGAACTGGTTTTTCGCGCAGGATTTTTAAAGTCGTAAACGTAGTTGACACTTTTCAGTCTATATGAGTGCCAAATATTTGTGTGCATAATGATGGCGTGTGGTATGATATTGATACTTAAAATACATCGCACATCTCTCGCTTCTCTAAACATAAGGAATACAATTCCGAAATCTTTAACTCATCGCCAGGATAATATGATGTTACAGACCCTCCTTTACCAGTGAAGTCGTATCCTGCAGCAAAAAATTTTCAGGCTGTAGTTTAAGACCATCGTGTATTTGTGTCTATTTATGTTCTAAACGTATTCCCTTGTTTTAAACGTATTCGCTTCTGTTTGTGTCTATTTTTGAACTCATTTTTCGTGCCTGTTTTGACTAATTTTACCCTTCAAAGCCCTATATTTTCAATTTGAATAGCTAGTTTATTCGGGCTGTTGGCTAGCCTATAATCGTGTCGGTAATATCACTTCCGCTGGTTTATAAACCCAAAACAGACTGATAACATCTCTATTGTTTGAATGCATTTGGAGTTGTAGTGCAACTAGAAGCTGTGTTAGGAGCTATCAGCTAAAGCTGGATAGCGCTTTGCAGAATTTTTTGGTATATCACTTTAAGACTTGGTTACCAAGCACGGATTAACTCTATATATAGTGCCAAAGTTCTTACATTAAAAACTAAAACTGTCCCACACACAAAATTTAAACCTGACCAAATGGTATTTTGGAGGTTCAAATTATAAAAAATAAAAGAAGTGAGTTAGAAAAGGAAGCGAAAATAATGGTTCCTTTCTGAGATCCGAACCAGGATATTTCGCACGCAATGACTTCTCGACCACCGTATCGTTGCTCGAATTCATCGTAGTTTAGCCTTACTTATATTGCTCATGCAATCTATGTAATGTTATAAAATTTATCGGTTGTCAACCCAGTTGAATATATAGTTCGTTAAAATGATTTCAAAATATTTTTTGGCTAGCGCTTTTCACCTGATACTGTTTTTTAAAGGCAATCAGCGGTATTAAAATGCTTGAAAATCAGTAAAACAACATATTTAAAGAGAATCCCCAGTTTGGGAATACTAAGTTTTAACTGGTAGTTTAAAAAATCACTATCCGGTGCTTACCGCTATTCAGCCTTGATTGGCCTGAAATTGCCTGTTGTTTAGTATGACTGTGATTTAACCTTAGTTTTCACAAATTGGGAAACCTCTTTAATAATTTTTAGCAGAAATACATTTTAACAGAAATAATTTAGAATTTGATGAAATTATAATATTCTGATTTCATAATTTTAAACCTAGATTTCAGTCCATCTGTCTGTTATCCTTCTTGAGAATTTTGATCATTTAGTGGAATCATCGCTTTGAAGATTTGAGAAGGTACATTTATGTCAGTGTTGGTCGTTTGTCGTAATTGATTCCCCACTTACAGTCTACAGTTTTCAACTATTGTTTATCCGCATTTATTCCTACTGAAGTTGACTTTAAAATAAAGTCGGTCGAAAATTGGCCCGATTTATATAGTACGTAGAGACGCATCATGCGTGTTTATGACTTATCCGTCTCCTGTATAAAGACTCGAGACTCGGTATTGAGACTCGGTATATACCGTGGATTTCGCCGGGATGACGATTCCATTGCTAGACCATTAGCTCGCAAAAATGAAACCTATTGCTATCACGAAATACAGAAACGATTGTTCCACCTTGTTACGCCTAACAATATTGCAACACGTTGTTGACAACATTGTTCATGGGGTGCAGCCAGAGCGTTTTTTGCCGTGTAGGCAGCCCAGAAATGTTTTCGATCGTTCTAGTGTCGCTAGTCTACTCGTAATACACCTGGAGTACTAGTTTTAGACCGACGTCAAGGTAAGATATACTAACTTTAAATTTTTAATGTTTTTATCGCAGACCATTTTGTATCATTATGTTATGATTTGCTGTTTAAAATATTTGAAAGTTGTTAACGTAAATGGGAAAGTTAATAATGACGCTGTTTTTTTACATTTCTAATGCTTCAATACTAAGTACCAGCTGGTAAATAGATCGATTAACGTTAGACTTAATAAGCTGGTATATAGATTAACGTTGCGCTTAATATGCCGATGTATAGATTGACGTTAGGCTTAATAAGCAGCTTGTCATGCAAATGCTTTAAAATTAACATGTTTGAATATATAATTAATTTCTACATACAATATAATACGTTGATGAATTCAATGGCATGTAAAAATGGTTAATTTTTTTCTGTATTGGTGCGTATACTTTATCCGAATATTAGATAAAACAAATCGTCGCAATATGTACGCATATGTTGAATATTTTGCCATGGGATGCATGATCATGAAGGTATAATCAGTGCGATAGTACTTGGTATATGTGGGATAATTTTTTTTACTTTCCAGGATATGCAGATCTATTTTGTGTGGCTATGTGCAATTCAGCAAGACTTAACGATCATGCAAATCAATATTTCTTTTAGGTGTGCTTTCAACATTGTTTCACATCTGTGCTATGTTTGGTCACCATGCCACAGAACAGCGCTCGCAGAGCGTATCAAAGAGTGAGGGGGCCAAGTTTTAAATAGAACCCCCAGTAAAATTCTAATTTTCTATAAATAGCTCCTTAACGCTTATTAAAGCTGACTTTTACCTCCGCGGTCCATGCAGAACAATTAAGACTACTCTATTTGCTCTGACCATTTTCAAGCTCTTCTTTATCTTGTGATTCAGACAAGAATAAAATGGAAACTACTAACAAATTATCGAATAAATTAATATCACAGGGATATTACTCACTCATATCACAAATGAACAATACCGAGCCAGAGTGAGCTCACATACAAACCTTCTTAATAAAATGATATCATGTACAAGTGATATAACCAACATTATATATACCAACATTAAAACCTTTGAGATTAAAGTATGGAAATAAAAATGAAACTTTAGTTTGTTTATTGCAGCTATGAATTATTACCATGTATCATTGTTGTAAATATTATCTCTGATTATGTTTTCTCTCAGCCTATACAATGGAAAAGAATTAAATTCCAATAAATATGCATTTATATATATGAATAAGTTTTGTTTTCCATGCCTGGTTGTATATGTGTGTTTTCTAATAAGAAGTCTCTTCAGGTAAAGGTAAAAGGATTTAACTTTATCATCAGACGTTTTGCTGGTTAGAGCTTCATCAGTGACAATGACTGTCAAGTCACGAATTCTTCATCGACCCGTAACTAATTCACTTGTTAATGTCTACTATAAGACGAAAATCTCACATAAAAACTTCAGATGCAAACGGACCTTAGCAAAAAAGTTTTCAGTAGACGCATCTTCGCTATAGCCTACTTGTTTTTTATTCCTGGCAATATGCTTTTGTTTGTGTTTACAGTTATTAATTTTCTGTAGAATAATGGTTTAATTCATGACCTTAGTTTATATAAGGTTGAAGATTTATATCAAGAAAAACAGCACAACCATAAACATAGAAACAAAGAAGTGGACACATCCTGACAAAAATTTTAAAAACAAAATGTAAACAAAGATGTACTCTGACTTTACTAACAGGGGACCCTTCCACTTCCGGTTCATAAGAAAATATCCTGCATAATAATAGATATAACCACTGAGCTATAACGCCTTACCTTTTAAAATTCCTTCACGGCTTCACCACGTGGTCGGGACTACCAAGTTTTTAAAAAAATTCGTACTAGACGAGGCGACGGCTACAAAGTACGTTGTTTACTACGTCTATATATAATGACAAGGCAGGAAACGGTTTATCAAATCATCACAGATATAGTTTCGTAATATAATTATCTGAAAAATTACATGAAGAAACGCCACAAAAACCACGCCGTAATAATCATCGCTTATTGAACTACAATATCTTGTTTTTAATACAAGTTTTTAAACAACATCTAAATCTTTATATTAGCGAAATAAATTCAAAAAGGAATTCATACGAAATTTTCAGAAAACTATCCGCGAGTCACTCCGCCTAAGGAAACGTCATATTTTTTAAGATATTTGCTGAATGCTCATTGACTTCCCAGAGACCACCAATAAGCTGTTAGCTTCACGCAATATGATTGGCCAGAAGGGTGCAGAAAAACATTCTGCCCAATCATATTGCGTGTTGCATTTAAAAAAACCGAATAAAAAAATGACGAATACCGGCACTCTTGGCATCCAGCATCGAGACAAGAAATTTTGGCACCAAATGCTTTAAAAACTGCCTGTCATTTTCGCACTTATCTACTCTATTTGAGCAAAAATTTTCCATCAGAATTCAGGAAAACTATCATTCTTTTGTTTTTAACATTTTTTTAGTTTTCATCAGCGTTTGTGCGTATATTTTTAAATTGTTTACATCGTATACTTCGCCAGAACTCGTAGAGTTGCCTACGTTATATAAATACATATAGTATAAAAACACTGATGCATACATTATTTTTGCATGCTTCCCCGGCTGCCTATAATTAAATTGTCGTTTTTGTACCATTTTTTCATGTAATTTTGCAGATAATTACGTATTTATGAAGCCATATTTGTAATGTTTTGACTAACACTTTCCTACCTTGTCCTTATATACAGACGAAGTAAACATCATAATTCATGAAAATTTATGTACGGTATAACGAATCTTTTTGTTTTTCCACCAAAAATTATTTAAGGCAACTATTGCTTCAGGACGATCACGATGGAAAATGACGTACTCGCGTACTATTATATCCATTTTTTACAGTAACCTCGTGCAATGCCATGGATTCTGTCGATCTACAAGAAAAGGCAAATTTTACAAGACTCAGTAGACTTTTAGTTGACAAAGGAACTGAGGCTTTGAGAAATACATTTGATAGCATCCATCCACCTGTTAATCTACCTGGAATACTAGCTGCAAACAAAATATCTCTCCAAAGAATAAAACCTCGAGTTATTAATAATCCCCAGTGGGATTTACTGTTCCCTCCGTCTGGGAACCCACCAGATTCCAAAACCTTTGATGTCACATTACTTACAGTTCTATTCCGGAACATTTGTGGTTTTCCATCAACAGGATGGGGTGCAATGCCTCCGGATACTGATAGATCAACGCAGGCGAATATCGCAAGAATCAAGTGGTTAAGAAACGATGTTTATGCACATGTAACAACAACTCGAGTTGACAATGCAAAATTTGGGTCTTTATGGAAGAAAATTTCCAAGGCGATAACAGAATTGGGCGTTTCACAGAGTGATGTCGACGATTTAAGAAAATGTCCTCTAGGGCCTGAAGAAGTATTGTATGTGCAAAAGCTTAAAGATTGGGAACTGCGAGAAGATGAGTGTAATAAAAGGCTTGCAGAAATTGAATATTCTGTAAATAATGTAACACGAATCGCTGAAGAAAACCGTGACGAAATAAATAGAATCCGCCAGTCTCACACCAATCCTGAAAAGAAATCCCGCACAGAAAGTGATAAAGATTTATTGCAAAAACTTGCTAAGCATAATTTCATGGGTAAAATTCAAAGAAAAGTGAAATTTTTCCTTCCTGGAACCAGAGTGTGGTTGTTAAAAGAAGTTGACGAGTGGTTTTGTAACAGTGTGAGTGACTCAAGAATAAAGTTAATAAAAGCTGGACCAGGATTTGGTAAAAGCGTGTTTGCCGCTAAAATCTGTAAAGATTTTGAGAAGAATGGAAAGCTGGCTGCTTGTCACTTTTGTGATTTCAGTGATTCAAACTTAAGAGATCCTATGGTGATGCTGCAGTCTCTCGCAAGTCAGATGTGTGAGAATGTCCCTGGTTTTAAAGAGAAGCTTCTTGATCAGTTAAAGCGACCTCATCAAGTTCAAAACCTGAAAGATGCCTTTCAAATATATTTGCAAAATCCCTTAGATGAATTGCAAATAAAAGAGGCACGTTTAGTCGTGATCGATGGCTTGGATGAAAGTACGGCAGATAATAAGAATGAAATCACGCATTTGATTGCTGAATATTTTCCAGATCTTCCCGAGTACATCAAAATCTTGGTTACCAGCAGGCCAGAGATTGCTTTAGCAAGACTAAGAGGTGTTCAAAAGATAGACATTGGAAACAAGAACGAAAACAATGTCTCTGATCTTGAATTCTATCTTAGAGCTTGTCTTCCAAGTTTAGAGGACAATACAATTTATCGAAGCGGTTTGTTCGAGTCCTCAGACGGGTCTTTACAAGAATTGTCAGATGTGTCCCTTGATGACCTGCTCCTGACAAAGAACCCTGAACGTGTCTTTGGTGGAACCATCAGTTTACTTTCCGACGTCGCTGAGAAATGTTCGGGCTCATTTCTCTATGCATATCTCTTCCAATCCGGGCTAAGGGATCGCTATGATCTTGAGAAGTTGACAAATAACGACGTCTTGGAATTTCTCCCAGAAGGACTGAATTCTATTTACCAAGGATATTTCAAACGCCTTGAAGACGAGATTAATAAAGCGATAAAGAATGAAAAGTTCAATGTGTTGAAAATTTTAGAAATGGTGGCTGCTTCTAAAGGACCTCTTCCCCTCACATTCATCGCTCAGGCTTTTGGGTTAGCTCCAGATTGTCGCGAAACGAAAAACATCATAAGCAAAATAAATGAAACCGTGTCGTGCTTGTTGTACGTTTCAGATGACATGTTAACCGTTTTTCACAAATCCGTTATTGATTGGCTTTTAGCAAAGGGCTACAAAGATCACCAGTATACTGTGAAGGTTGACAATGGACATAGATCGCTCTGGCTTTTATGCGAAAAAGTTTTTGAAGTAATTGTGAAGCGTGTTTCCTCCAAACTTGAGGTGCACTTTTCTAATGAAGTAGAATACGCTCTGGGTCATGGTCTGGGACATCTTGAAAAATGTGAAATGGAGGATGGTGTATTCTGGTCAACTGATGTTATTATCGTAAGCTTTATGCTAACTACCTTTGATCAGATTAGAGCAGATAATTTGTTGCTATTCTGGGAAAGAATTCTTCGAAGTTCTGTGATTAAAAGGGAAGAGGTATGTGCCCGCATTTCGTGGCATGTCGTTGAATTCAGCATTTGGCCTAAAGGCGTAGCAGGGGACTTCAAAGAACATTATTCCACACCATTTCCAAAATTATTGTCGATAACTTCACAATCGTACTTACAAGCCGTTCTTATGCATCCTTCAGAAGGGTATTTCAGTGATGGTGAGAAGAAAATCGCGGAAAGCTTACTATCAAACGTTTCACCATTTGTCGGGCTGTATTATTGTAAAGTCTCCGTTTTGCCGCGAGCAGTCTTGAGACCCAGTTACATTTCCCGTAGTAAAGAGATTACAGTTGTTATTTTATCAGACGAGAAGAAAAGATTAGCAGTTGGGTTAAAAAAAAATTTGCCATTTATGCTAAATTTTGTTGATCTTTTGATTTATTCAACAAAATTTCAAAAAATTTCATGTTGCATATTTTCTCCAGACCGTTCGCTCGTATTGTTTGGTAAACTGGAAACGGCGTTTAACATTCTGGAAAAAAGGGAAGTTCCATTTTTTCCCGGAAATGAAGAGTCCTTCGTGTCCTGTGCATTTTCTCCTAACGGCAAGAGGCTGGTGACCAGCGAAGGTTCAAACACCATTAAAGTATGGGATGTTACTAAACAAAGGTTGGTATCTTCGCTTTGTGCTGAAATACCTGTTGATTGGTGCTCTTTTAGCATCACAGGGCTATTTATCATTGGGGATTCAAAATCCTCCTTGAGATCATCACAGTATGTGTGTGATTCGATGTGTGTTTGGAACGCCATCACATTCCGAAGGAGCGATAAGCGAAAATTGTCTCAAGAGAAATGTGAACGATGTTTTCGGCGAGGATTGAAAGAACAAACTTCTACACAAATTGAAACGCAGGTTTGGTGGATTAATAAAAGAAAATTTGCAATGTTGTGTCCATGGATCTGCTGTGGTGTGTAGTGTATTTTTATCGTCGAAAGAGTGTTTATATGATTCCAATGTTTTAGAAAGTTTTTCCTTGACTGCCATTGTTGCTTGGACTATCTTTGCCGCTTCTTGCCGTACATTCCTTCATCAAATCAATGATGCAATAAAAATGGAACTGTTAGAAGATAATCTGTATATAATGAAGATATTGCCTTAAGAACTTGACCTAGGCTAACACCTTAATATTTTTTAAGATCTTAATTTGGATTTGATGCCCATGATGTATGTGCGTGCAAAATGGCGACATTCGGTTTAAATTTGGATGGGATTTAGTACCCCAAGGAATGCGTGCGCACAGCATCATGGGATTTAGTAAAAATATATATATTTATATTGGCCTGTATATATTGAATAAGACTTCGAATATTTTTGGCAAGAATCTTGCTGGTTTATATCGGGACGATGGCTTGGCTTTAGGAAAAGGAAACACAACTCGGAACGCTGACAAGGAAAGCATTAAATGAAACATTCCATCAGCTTGGTCTGAAGATTACATGTGAAGTAAGTCATCACCTCGTAAATTTCTTAGACATTACGTTGAACTTGGAAGTCGATCGTTTCAAGCCATATAGGGAGCCCTTTAACACAACCTTCTATGTAGACAGTCGATCTAACCACCCGCCAGCAATACTAAAGCAAATACCGAAGTCAATAAACATGCGTATATCATCTCTCTCATCTGACAAAGAGACATACGACGAACAGTCAAAACCCTTTTATGTGGAAAACTTGAAACAAAGCATTTATAAAGAAGATTTGCACTACAATCCTGAAGACCCCAACGTATCGGCAACACGGAAACGAAAGAGACATGGAAATATTATATGGTTTAACACCCCGTATCAGTTAGGACATACGTTGGATTCAGATTTCTTCAACTTATCGACAAACATTTTCCTCCCAGAAACCCGCTTCACAAGAATTCAACAGAAGCACGATAAAAGTCAGTTACAGTTGTATGCCAAATGTAAAATATGTAATTTGACAGCATAATCGGAAAGTATTAAGGAAAAACGATTCTCAGACAACTCCAACGTGTAATTGTAGAAATTCGGATGAATGCCCCATAGACAACAAATGTCAATCGAAAAGTGTCGTTTACAAAGCAATTGTATAACTTCTCTTGATGACCATGTAAAGAAAGTATTTGTCGGTATGACAGCAATTCGTTTAAGAAAAGACATCAACCATAAGAAATCGTTTAATTTAATTCGTTATGAAAAACTGAAGTGTCTAACTGTATATGGCAACTTCAATTTAAGCAAAAAGATTTTTCCATCCATTGGTCAATTCTGAATCACTCAACACCAGTAGCCCGGTAGCTCACGTTGTAATCTTTGTATTGAAGAGAAACTTTGGTTAATGAAATCAAAGCATAAAAACTTGGAAAATAAGCGATCGGAGGTGTGTCGCGAGACTTGTGTACTTAAGCCAACCATCATGACTTAAAACAACTGGTAGATGTGGTAGACTTTGTAGCCTTGTTTGGTAGATGTTGGAAGCTGAAACTGCACTATTTATGGTTAGGCTAGGAGACATAAAGGTTTGTAGAAATAAGGGATGAGTGTAATGTAAATAGCATTATCTGTAAGTTGTCTAACACTGTGGACAGAGACTAATTAAAGAAGTAAATAAAACCTAATTAGACAACTTCAACTTTAAAGTGCCTATATCACTCGCGGGATCTTTATGCATTTGAAAAGAACGTAAAAAGTTAGTTAATATATTAAAAAACATTTTTTGATTTAGTGCAATAATTTCGAAGATACAAGCCTCTAAACTACCTGCGATTCCCAACCTCCTGGGCTTAAACACGGCTATTCAATTTGAAACTGCCCATTGTTTACAGGAGCCTGGGACTCAGGAATTGCAGGTAGTTTAAAGGCTAGTATCTTCAAAATTATTGCACTAAATCAAAAACTTTCTTTAATATATTAAATAACTTTTTATATTCTTTTCAAATGCATAAAGATTCCACGAGTGATATAGGCACTTTAAGTATTTTCCAGAATAGCTGTATGGTTAAATTTTTTGTGTTTGAATATGTTTTTTATTGGTTTTTCCTAATGTCACTGCCTTCAAAGCAAACGAATTTTAAGAGCAAAATGCTAGTTCTTGAAAAATGCTGTTTTGTGACAAATTGGTTCTTAAGAATATACCATGACGTTTTTCCCAAAATACTAATTGCATGGTGATGCTTCGGCGTTCACATCAGTAAAAAATTTGCCTTATGCTTAATTCATATCTTTTAACATTAAAATATCGTATTATACATTAGACTACTAATTGTAATTTAAGGGGATTGTTTACTTTATTGGCATTAACAATAAAAATTGATTTTCTTGTACTCCCAATTAATAACTCCGATTCTGTTATAACAGTTATATCAGTTATAACAACTGAGCTATAATATAATTCCTGGAGGTCCGGCCCGCGACCAAAAAGTGAAGCAAAAAACATGGCGGATTTCGGCGTTTGCTGACGCTAGGTTGACGCCACTAGTTCTTATTTGTCATGGTAGTTACCACTGACCAACCGCGATCCTAAACTATAAGTCGAATGGCTACACCCTCATGGTTTTGTAATTTTTTTCCCGCCTTGCCAGCAGTTGTTTATGCTTTATTCAAAACAACTTTCGTCGACTTCAGTGATATTTTTAAGATATGCTATTCTGCTTCGCTTACGGGTGCCACAGTTCTTTTTCAAAGAAAAAAACTTCGTCTCACAGGTAAGAAGTTAATAACCAGCTTTTTTTGTTTGATGCAAGTTTGTACTAGGTCATTTATCATTTTATAAAAGCGGCGGCCTCGACCGTCCGAAACAGTTTCCTTTTACATATCAATATCTTTACAAATACTTTTTTAATGGTATCACTCAGTTTTACTATCTTTACTATCAGTTTTTCACTAGAAACATAAGCAGGACAGTTTTGCAAAATAAAATTTTAATATAAAAGGCGAAATTGTTTTTTCTTGAAATGCCTTCTCTTCTTGCTTAGTTCTGTGTTAAATCGTTGCTTTTACACATTGCAAAAATTTCTTTAATCATTTGAAAACAATCTATATCCGACTGGGACATTTTACGCATTATTTTCAGTTGGTTTAATTAAATGATGTTAAATACTAATATTTAAATTACAGCTTTCCGGATGCCAAAAAGTTTCCTAGGATTCATGCAAAATGGGTTGACAATGTGAATCAGCATGCCCCAATTCCGTTAATCATAACGAAAGGAAGTAGACTTTGTTCAGAACATTCCCCTTGGATATGATAGAGGATGATAGAGAAAGAGTGATACTGAAACCTTGTGCAATTCCAACAATATTTCCTAATGTTCAGGTATGTTATAATTTTACTCTTTGATCTGATTGACTCCAGTTTTTATGCTGTACTTATCTATATGGGTGAATTTTTGCCAGTAAAAGTGCATGCAGGGTACACTACTGCCATTCAATTTTTTTACCATGCTAACTATGGGTGCTAACTATCCATGCTAACAAAGTAACTATCGTGCTAACTACCAGGCAACCTGACATGATCCCAACCGACTCCACTGGCCAATGAAATTAGCATTGACTTTAGTATTTCTAAATAAAGTTGTATGCCTGCTAAAAAAATGTTATAATTCCTTAAGTGGCATGACTATATGCCATTGACAAGCTAGTAAATAATAACAAATATTATATAAGGTTGTAGGCAATATATAATTTGTGTTTTCAAAATGCTTGTCAGAACTAAAACAATACAAGGATATCAATTATTTATAGATTGAGCCAATAAATTACTAATTGTTCTAGTAGTCTTAAGAAGGAATCAAATTAGTTACCTTGATATACCAACCATTTTTTTAATTTCAATGACATTCATACGAAAACTGAATATTAATATAGGTAAATAAACAAGATGAATGGACATGGAGTTCCAGAGGAACTAATGAAAAGGTTGGTGTCACAAAAAAAAAGAAGAATACCGGGGCATAACCGCCAGAGCTAAGGTCATTTGCGCTGACCTTGAAATTTTATTCGACGAAAGCGCGTATAATTACGTTCGCAAAAGTTTTAATTCAGGGTTGCCACATGTATCGGTGATTCGGTCGTGGTACACGTCGATGAATGGCGAACCAGGTTTTACCAATGATGCACTTACAGCAATGAAAGCGTAAGTCTTAGCTGGCAAACGAGACGGCAAAGAAGTGCTTTGCTCCCTAATGCTTGATGAGATGTCCATACGGAAACATGTCGAGTGGGACGGTAAGAGAATGCGCGGCTTTGTTGACCTTGGTACCGGTATTGAAGTGACTCGCTGCCCGAAGCAACAGATGCTCTCGTTTTCATGGCCGTTTCTGTAAACTCAAGATGGAAAATACCCTGTGGATATTTTCTGGTTGATAGTGTTACCAGTAAAGAGAAAGCTAACTGGACAAAAGACTGCATAGCTAAATTGCACGAAGTTCACGTGAAGGTTATGTCCTTTACCTGCGATGGACCTTTGAATCAACAGGCAATGTTGAAGATTCTTGGAGTCAAGTTGTCACCAGATAGTTTGCAGGCGTACTTTGAACATCCGTGTGACTCCAAAGCCAAGATCTATGTTTTCCTACATTCTTGTCATATGATTAAGTTGGTACTATGTCGGACTGGAGAGTTGGCAACACAAATAAAGATGGCAACACAATTCAATGGGAGTTTATCGAGAGGCTGCACAAACTACAGGAGTCGGAGGGTTTGCATCCTGCCGTGTTGCGTCTTGAGTGTCGCACAGTGAACATCATAATATTGCGCAGGGAAATGTAACTATAGGCTTTGATAATGCAAAAATATCATCTGGTCAACTTAATTAGAGCTGTGGCCCGAGTGAAAAATACATATAACAAAACCAAAAAAAATATATCTAATTAAACCATTTCAGTTTTGTTGATATTAAACTAGCATAAACAATCAAAGACGCCGTCTACAAATTCCGTGTTTTGCATGTAAGGTTTAGTTTTGCGCTATGTTTTTAACCAAGTGCGTGCAGTCCTTGCGCACTAGCTCTACGACTGAGTGGCAAAAGCCCACAGGGCAAGTTGCCAAGCAAACGTTCACAACATTTAAGTTTGACCTTTCAGATATTTCGCTATATATATTTCGCTATATATATTTGGCTATAACTCATCAGAAAAGGAAGCAATAGAATTTATGTTCCTTGGACAACATATTTGAAATGACGCCTATCAACTGTTTATGCGTATATACATGAGCGCGCGGGTAAAGATCTTTAGCAATAATTTCGCAAGACTATCCGAAATATTTGCTGGTTATTAACTAAATGGAGAAGTCAAGGCGTTTTAACACGTGCATATAAAGGTGTGAACACTGAAGGAAACATTAACTATGATATAAGGCAAGTCATGACTGGGCATACTTTATATATAGGCGCACTTGCATTTATTTCCCTCCAGGTATTGAATTCAGGCTTATCGATGAAATCATCAACAGAATTCGTATAACGGTTGGCTCGATTTAAACTAAAGTTTTTTTTCCTTGAGTGTATTTGCTTGGCTAAACTGTAGCTCTATATTGATCCATTAGCCTGCAACGCAGACTAGATATTGGGCATATATATACCCCACTATATATACCCCAATATATAGTCAGCGTTGCAGGCTATTGATCCATGAATATATCGAAATATGACACGCATTGCAAGCAAGATTCATATAGATGATCATGCAATTGTACAAAACAAGACGTTCTCAATTGCATTTTATGTATATGTTTACGCGAATAAAATATATGCGCACTGCAATATAACCCTTTAGATTGCTTATCATGGCCGGTGGAATCGAGTTGGGCCACGATCATCCATTCATTCCGAAACATGACATAAGGTTGCCAAACCTTCAAAATGGCTTGGCTGAGGTTAGAGTAGTTGTTAGCTTGGTGATTACAATTTAATAGGATGCATTTACCCACATTAAAACAACAATTGTTTACAAACTTTGCTGACATTTTTCAAAAAATGTGTGGGTAGATGCTACCTCGAAATAGATATAATTATATGATAAAAAAGATTTCGCCAGACAAATGGATTAATGCTTTCATGCATGTCTTAATCTTGATTAGTTAATTTTACTGTAAGCAGAAGGCTCAAATTGAGTTCACAAGTAGATGTCTCGCGGAAGATTTCGAGGATCGGATGTTTCTTAAAATTGTGAGTATAAACTCCCCTGTGCATGCATTTGGCATTGTCATTTCTATATGGGCGGCAGCATTGCTATATGCTTTGCAGAAAAAAATATTTGCACTCTTTGTGATTTTAAAACCTGGTTTCTATATGGGCCGTCTGCTATTGCTATATGCTTTAGTGACATTGCTGTGCACTCTTGTCTTGCTGCCGGGGTTGAGTATTAAGTTGTTTTGCAGGGCGGAAATTCGGACCTTCGGGATTGCGGATTGTCGCAGTCGTTCGAAATGAAGATTTCGAAAATTATCCCACTAATTTATGCGTTCTATTTCTTTAGGTCACTATCGTTAGGCTCATGCAGGTAGCTTAGGCATTTTTACACAGTTAACTATGTAGATGGTCGAATAATTATATGGGGGGAAATAAAATATTTCATATAATTATCAGATAGAAGACCATGCCGACATGTAGAAGAATCAAAGGTACCATTTTCGCATCACATGAAGCTGTTGATCCAGATGTAACAAAC